ATAGATCGTACGTGCCAAATGCATTGATTTGTTTGAAACAGTAGCTCATCAACGATGGCATGCTGGAGTGGGTTTCTACCCTTTTTTATGATAGGTTAAGCCATGTTTCTCCCCCTTGTTTGTCTGTCTGGTTGATTGGTTGATTTGTATGTTTGTATAAACTATTCATGGTAAACCTGTATATTGAACTGACGTATCATGATTTTACCATGTTTGTTTATTGATAAATGTTTTCTGGTTTGCCCACTTTATTGTGGTATGAGTCTCTCATCATATATCAGTGTATATAACATGCTTGAACGTATAAATAACAATGAAAGGAACTAATCCAGGATCTCAAAGAGGGAGAAATTATGGAGACTCAGTTTGCTCATAATCTATTTGACAGGCGTCCCATTCTCAAGTCCAAGACTCCTGCTGTTAAATGGTTCAGAGAATGGTAATTTACAATTACAACTTCTTCTCTGTTTTTATCTTATTTATATATTTCCTTTTGACCTAAGGTTCAATTATTATTGTTGTATTTTGCTCTTCGAGGATGTGATGGAAGAAAAGAAAAATATTTCCTTGCTTAGATTTTGTTGATACTTAACATCAAAATTAATTCTGCAGGATCTCTTAAGACTTTTTACATCTTGTAATACAGAGTTAAATTTATAGCCCATGTCAATTATCTGTTCAATATTTTTAGGGTACCCCAAGATGTTGTAGCAACTGGCGGCAAGTGCTTTCTTATGAAATGGGTAACAGGTAAAATATACTTGGACTTTGCTATCTGTAACTTTGCCTGTGTGTATTCATTATCCTTGTTTTCTCTTGACACAATCAATTGGTCAATATGTTTTTTTTGAAACATATTCTCATGTCAGTTTGATGTCAATTTTCATTCTATTCATTATTATATGCAGAGGACACACTAAAGAAGTTGAAAGAGAAAGCAAAAGAGCCAGAGGCACCAGAACCAGAACCAGAGCCGACAACTGAAGTTCTTTTCCTTTGTAGCTATGAAGGATGTGGAAAGACCTTTATTGATGCTGGTGCTTTGAGAAAGCATTCTCACATCCACGGGGAGAGACAATATGTTTGCCACTATGAAGGATGTGGAAAGGTATTGTCTTTCTCTTAGTTTAATTCTTTTTTTATGGGAAATCAACATACTGACCAATTTGCACTTCTACTTCATCCTTAAGTTGAACATGACTAGACTTAACTATTGGCCTAGGTTCTTACTTGCATTGAACTTCAATATGGCTCTTCTTAGGTAGTGAAAGGTCTTGAGTAACCTTAAAGTTTATACTCTTAGAAAGACATTTTAGTTCTTATCGTTTCTTAACTTCCACATGCCCCTTATCTTTTTTCATTGACTGCAAATGCTTTTGAATGTTTATATTTACTCTTCTCTTCTATTATCATGTGTTCTAGAAGTACATCATTTATCCCATGCAAAAAACGGTAATATTGGTAGTCTCATTATACTGAACACATTAATCGTGAAATGAAGGTAGACTTAGAAGAATGTGTGTGAAGGTGGTAGGAATTACATCACACAAGATTGAATCACTGTAGGTACTACGAAGAATAGAGGCAAGACTTTGTTGAGTTAACAGAATACTTGAATTATTCATCCAAGCTAGTTTGTATTGGTGCATATGCGGTTGCGTTAAAGGATTAAGTCTTTCAACTCTAGAGATTTAAACAAATTTCTTATGACAATCTTCATGAATGACAAGTTTTTGACCTTTATTTCCACAACAAACTATGGTTTGGAAAACTGGAGAATGCTACAGTGCAACTTTGGAAAGAGGAATGCAAAGATGAGAAGAGCGTGCCAAAAATTTATTGGGAATGTTTTTGAACTGTTGAATCAAATCTAGAAGAGGCTGAACTGGTATGGGTGAACTAGTTTTATAAAAAAAGGTCAATTAGCGCATGACATGCAATGCTCATTCATGGGTCACAAGTAAAGGTTAATTGACAAGCTAGAGATTCTTTTACCTTGGAAACCAACTGATGTTGGGCAAGTTAGGATTAATTTATCAATTTAGAGATTTGGGGAAATTTCGTAGACATTACGTATAGGAAATCTTAAGCATCACATTTAAGAATTTGATTGCTTCACACAACTAGAAATTTTAGTAACTCTTGAAGTATTTATTGAATAACTGAAGCCTCTCAAAAGTTAGATTTTAAATCATATAAAGAAGTCTTTTAGGGAGGGCTGGGTATAGAGCCTAGCCCTTTGCACAAAAATGGATCATCAGTCCGAAATAATAATGGTCCCAAAATGGTTGAACCCTGGGCAATGAGGGAAAGGCCAGCCCAAATGGTTGAAAATTTGTGCTTACAATCCTATTTTCCACTTCCAGCCAAATGGCCCATAAACCCGCAAAGTAGCCCCTTTAGACACAATCTTGTGCTCCGTACTCCTCGCCACACCATGCGAATAAGAAGATCATAAATTAAACATAATTATTAATGATCAACCTAAAAAAATGTCAAATTTTCAGAATTAGCACTCAAGCTAATCTGAATGACTGCTTACCTTCTGTTTCCAAAAAAAAAAAAAGCAAAGATCCAGAAACCCTAAAGGAAAACCTTCATTTCTCTACTACCCAGCACCTTCAGCCTGGCATTTCACATAAACAATTCATAGTCACTGTTGCTTCTCCCTTCATTTCTCTACTACCCAGCACCTTCAGCCCTTCTGATTTTGCTTCCAGTTCTTTTGATCTCCTTGTCATCAGACATGATCTCGACTGATTGTGTACATCCCATTTGTTTAAAGTTACACACCTCTTGGTGTTACATCAGTTAATTGCTTTTACTAGTTGAATATAAAATGAGAAATCTGGGGTGAATATTATAGGTGAATGAGAGAAATTTCAGGTACATAACTTTTAGTGTCAAATTATTTTTTTAAAAAAAAAACTATGTCAAATAAGTTATTCTCTAGGCTAGTTGTTGCCCTTCAGTTAAAGGGTATAAGACCAGTTCACCTTATGCCTTCATAGTTATATGTTTGAGATGTCATAGTTGTGGTAAGTTTCATTTTCTGGCTATATGCTTATTACTGATTGGAGGAGGTCAGGGAAAGGGGTGAGAATAACCATATCTGGCATGGGTGGGTTGTCCTACTGGTTTGTTGGTTTATCTACTGGATTGCTGAACATAAACTAGATGTTTCAATCTGATTGTGAATGGAAATGGCAAATGTGGACATACTTGAGAGACTAAGTATTTGTTTTTCCTCGTGAAGTTTTTGTGTAACCTCATCTTGCTTCTCCAGGCTCATCTGGCATTTTGAAATATCTGTATTTGTGTTGCAGAAATTTTTGGATAGTTCAAAATTGAAAAGACACTTTCTCATTCATACTGGAGAAAGAGATTTTGTATGTCCTCATGAAGGCTGTGGTAAGGTGATAAATCTATCCATACTCCAGTGTCTTATTTTTATAATTCTTTTATTCCTGGCATCTAATACTAGTTGCTTTTTCCATGTTTCTTTGTTGATGTCTCCGGGAGTTGTTTCTGTTGCTTTCACCTTGTTATTCACCTCAAAGACATATAAATGCACTTTTGCAGTCTGTCCTTAGTGTTCTGGAAATTAATGCCACTAGTCAGTGTGGTAAATTGTTATCACTTTAGTTTATTTTATCCATGAGGTAAAATTTAAGAAATGGTTTTGTAGTGCATGTACAGGTGAATTATAGCTTTAACTAATCTTGCTTCTTTTTATTTTTTTCAAAAAACTAATCTTGTTTCTTCAGGTCATGATTGATTTTAGAAAAGGTTGCATAGGAGGCTTAGAAACCACCTTGGGGCCTTTCTTTGAGAGGAACTCGAGTTACTGTTCTTTTTAACTATATTAAGAAGTTTAAATTGCGAAGGCATATTTTTACTTTCTTTAATCATAGTTTGAAGTTGTATTATGATCTTTTAAAATTGTTACTGTTTATCTCTTTTGTCTTAAGATGTTTTCTTAATTTTAGTCGTGTGTGAACATGTAGGCTGGTTCCTTATTCTATCTTGTCTTTAATTTTCAAATTTGATTACATGCAGGCATTTTCCCTAGATTTCAACCTAAAATCTCACATGAAAACACATTCACAAGAAAATTATCATATCTGTCCATACGCAGATTGTGGAAAGAGATATGCTCATGAATACAAGTTAAAGAACCATATTTCATCTCAGCATGAAAAGGTTTGTAGGTTTTGTAGTATGTTTTCTTATTGTGGCAGAGTTTCTGTAGTTTTTGGTATTTTGTTTACAATTCTTGGTAAACAGGGTTTGATGATGATTTTCTACTAATTCAGTTATTAATTTCACTGGGTGCTCAATAGCTTTATGATTTGCTATGGTAATCAATCTTCAAGTCAGTTGATAATGTGAAAACACATTATATGCTGGTAACAGTATTCCAAGTCCAATTTCAGAAATGTATATATATACATAATCTGTTATTAGTGGTCGAAAGGATATGTTCCAAATCTTCATCCATGGTTATCATCTTTTCAATGAGCAATCACATTGATAAGAAGCTCAAACTGCTGGTTTATTAATCATTAAAAGATACAGAGATAATTTCCTTGGTTGCAGAACAGCAATCTGTAAAAACCAAACAGATGTCTTTTATTATCTCACTCAATTTAATTCGATATACAAATGAACCTTCGCATGATATCCCTGTGCTTTTTTTTTTTTTCTGTTATGTGAAATCAGAGTCATTCTTGATTTCGTGATTGATTGTGCAGAATCCCACAGTGGAAGTTGTAAAATATACAACACCTCCAGAAAAGATATCTAAAACTCCAAAGCCTCCAGCAGGGGTTTATGGCTCTGGATCATTGGACCGCCCTTATGCTTGTCCATACGATGGGTGTGAAAAGGCCTACATTCATGAATATAAGCTCAAACTCCATCTGAGGAGAGAGCATCCTGGCCATATGTCAGAGGAGAATGCTGAGAATGCGACACTTAATGCTGATAATGAGATGGATGAAGGTAGTGATCAAGATGCTTATGGAAAACGTGTAAATGTCAAAAGTCAGAAACAGCAAGGCAGGTCAAAGCCAAACTTGAAGATGCCTCCTGCAAAAATGAGACGGCGTAAAGGTTTGAGCCCCTCACCAGCCACTCTGAATGTTGTGAAAAAGCCATGGCTTGTTAAAGAACAAACATTTGAAGAAGATAGTGAAGAAACCGAGGAAGAACGAGACAATGTTGACGATGGATGGAGGTATGGAGATAACAACGAGGATGATGAAGAGACAGAATATGAAGACTAAAACGAAAATGTTTTTGCATTTTCCTTGGCCTTATAAAACATCTTTCCTTGTAACCAGTTCGTCCTTCACCAGGAGCTGTGCATCAGCATTTTCAGTTCATTGCATATAAACATGTACAGTTATATTAGTACACTGGGGATACAGTTATAACCAATTCTTTCCTTCAGTGAAGTGCTTTGATATTGTCTCATGTCTTACTTTGTGGGATTTTAGATTTAGATTTGGGCAATATTCAGAGTAAATTCAGAAGATTATAACTTGTTTTAGCAGGTTAGCACTTTATGTTGTAATCCTTGAAGGGTTGTAGTAAAGCTAAAAGTGAATATCTCATAGCACTACAGGGGCTGCATGTACCATTCCATGAGCAGGTCTATGGTTGTATATTTACACCTAGTTTAACAGTAAGGTGGTGAAATTTCCCAAAATTAACATTTAGTTCAGTTGAAAAAAGGGTTAAATTATATTAAACTTGAATTATATGAGATTGAGCAATGCCTGGAATTCTTTATTTGAAATACATTATTTCAACAATATATGAAATTTTATATGAGATCGTTTTTGTTATTTTAAGGATTATTTTATTTTTTAGTTGAATTAAATAAAAATTTACAAATAAATTTCATAAGAAATTTGGATTTCCTTCAAATATAGACTAAAAGTTATAAACATTAATTTCATATGAAAATTTAAGTGAAATTAGAATAGTATATTCATGTTTCAATCATACATAAAACAATATATGAAGTCATATTTTTTTAATCTCCTAATAGAATTTATACTATTGCTTAATTCTACTAAATATTGTCTACAAATATACTTTACTAAAATTTTAAATTCATTCTAAAAATTGCACTAAGAATTAGTTATGAGACTTTAGGGTTTAGAAATTTTAAAATTTTATAATTCATATTTCAATGTCTTAGTTTTAGGGTTGAGAATTAGAAGTCTAGATTAATAGTTAGGGATTAGGACCCCATGCTTAAAACTTAAGAGAGCTTTATATTTGATTTTTAGTGAAGTGAGAAATACTTATATATAAGTTATTTTTCATGCAATTCTCATAAGTTTTGTCCTAGTTTTTTATGAGCAAAAAAATAAGTGCATTATTACTAATAAATTGGTAGAGATTGCATTGCCGTTCTACTAAATTGCATGACTATTGTGTTGGAATTGCTATTGAAGTTTGTAGTAGTTAGAGCTTTGAAAAAACTTTTAAAATCTCAATTTTTTTTTTCGGTACTCTCAATAAATTCCTGACTAACAACAATTGAGATAAATGTGATTATAAATAAAATAATATATCAAAATAATTTTATGTAAGTTATAAGGTAATAATAATGGTATAGTTGAGGTCTTGCGTTTGTTTTAGGAAGATTACGTAGTGGACTTGTGTTTGTTTTAGGAAAATTATGTCTATGGTGGTAATCTCATTTTTTCTCATCGTATTGACATAATTATAAGAATTGGCAAACTTAAGGTGGGTTTAGAAGAGTTTATGGATAGTTTGAAATGCACTTAACCACATAAAATGAGACTAA